GCTCACTGCTGCATCCGAAGTATCTAGTATATAGTAGTTATTCAATAAAATTTTGTTACAAATAAGAACAAATAGAAGATGGATGGAAGGTGAATGTTGACCTCTGCATTAGGCACTGAAGTACATTCAAGGTACCATCCCCATCCATCAGGAGAGAGAGCACGCAGGGAAGCAATCACCCATAATCTAGAAGAGTAACTATGAGGTGGTGGTGGTAGAAATGACAGTGGGTACCTAAGTCCATACTGTAAAGATAGTGAAGGCTTTGTTCACTCCCCAATGGTTATTCATGGAGGGCCTACTAGGGGAAAAAGGTAGGCTCCCAGGTGGTTGTGGGAAACATATAAGCAGACAGGTAGTAATAAACCAGACAGATGCTGTCCTAGGGGAAATCATAGGCAGTGGGGGGCAGGAAACTGAGGTATCTTGCTTCATTATCAGAGGGGTCCTGGAAGGCTCTGTGTTGAAGGGAGTCCAAGCTGAGAACTACCTGAAAGGTTAGTAGAAGTCAGCCAAGGGAGAAGGAGGGAAAAAAAGTTCCAGCCAAGGGAACATTATGTAGTGAAGAGAGAACAGGCAGTTTTCAAGGAACCGAGCAAAAGTGTCAGGAAATCTGCCTTGAGTACCAGTAGGATGGTGGGCAGGGCTGGAAGACATGAAGCAAGACAAGTGGGTGGGAGTGGGGTGGAAGAAGCACCCAAACCATGCTGAGTTATGAGTTTACCTTCAGGGCATGGGAAACCATTTGCAAGTTTTAAGAAGGGAAGTGATAAGATCAAGTTTGGATTTTAGAGAGGTTACTCGGGGTACAATGTGGGCACTGGGTGGCATAGGGCCAGAGAGGCATCCTAAAGACCAGTGAGGCAATAGTCCAGACAAGATATGATAACCTGAGTGATGACATCCCTGGGGATGGAGATCATGTTTGAGCCAAGTCTGAGGATAACTGGGAGTTTCCTTGCAGAAAAACTTGGGGTGGAAAGGGTGCAGGTATTCCAGAGAGAGAAAAAGCACGTGGAAAGATTTTAAAAATTTGGCATGTTTGGGGAAGTACATGTGGTTATATATTCGTAGAAGGCACAGGGGTGGGTAGTGGGAGATGAAGTAGAAAGGAGCTAACCTTTGCTGAAGAGTCTTGAAAGCCCAGGGTCAGGCCAGACACTTTTATTAGAGTTGGGGAGGACAAGGTGGGTATCCTCTCCAGACACTTGAATTATCTGCAGAAGTTCCAGAGGGTTCTGGTCCATCCAGGCATTTTCAGAACAAATGTAGCACCCAGAACCTGAAAGACAAGGGCAAACTGTATATAAAAAGGTGAAGGAGAGTATAGGAACTGTAGTAAGCAAGTGGATCAAGACAGAGCATGGGGAGAATAGGGGACATTTCCTGCCAAGCAGAGAAGAGCAAGGCTGCATGAGATAGGTCCCTTCAGAACCTGGAAATTCCAGTTCCAGAATAGTCTGGTTCTGCACTCGCTCCTCTGATTTCTATCTCCTGACCTCAAAAGACCTCCTTACAGGCATTTCCCCCAAAGAAGACATTTCCCCCAAAGAAGAGATATGCAAAAAGTCAGAGAGCAGAGACCAATTAGTGTAATGATTAAGAAATTGGGCTCTGCTTTCTCCTTAGTTTCCAACAGGGCAAATCACTCACTGGAGTCAGTTTGCTTACTTGAAGTGGGGACAATAACACCTACCTCATCAGTGCTGAAAGGTGGAAATGAGATAATGTGAACAGGAAACTTACATAGTGTAGGTTCTCAATAAATCTTTGCTGTTATGAATATTCTGGTAGAAGACAAATGGGATGGGGTGGGAGGGCATAGAGAGATAGGGAGGGATGTAAATAAGAAGGGCTGAGTGGAAGGGGAGTGAGTTCCAATCTGTGCAAAATTCTTCAGTGGCTTCCGTGGATTATGGGACAAAATCCGTCACAAAGGCTGATTCCTGCCTACCTTTCCTACCTCTTTTCTCGTGGCTCCCAACCTCACTTTATAGACTGAATGGGATCCTACCTCCTGTGATTCCCAGAGCAGAGCAAATTCTTCAAGACTTTCCATGAACTGTAGTGGAAGAAAAAAAAAAAAAACAACCCTCAAACCTGTCTTCATACCAAATATTAAGAAGTGTGCGCTTCCTGGAACAGATGTTGGGAAGGGACCCAGGATGTGTATATCATGGGGAAGGGGTGGAGGACTAAGGGAGGGAGGAGCAGGGGAAAGTTAATATGGCTCAAATAAATGGCATTTGGCCTCCTACTTAGGTAAGGCAGAGGGCCGGCAGGCTGATGTGCATGTTTTTCTTGGTGGTGAAGCCAAGACTGGAGGAGAGGAGAGAAAGGGCAGAGGCTTAAGGGAGTCCCAGCATATGTCTGGTCTTCCACCCCCTCCCCTGTTTTCTCTTTCCTTCCTTCTTTTAGGGTCTTGATTCCCTAGGAGGGAATTGCAAGCCTGAGAGTAGTGACCTGGGACTGACTTACTCCTTTTAGGAGCTAAGACCCCAGGTTTAAAAAGGTCCAGTTATAATTCAGTGTGGGAACTGTGTTATGAAGACTTGTGCTAAGGCCTATGGGAGCCTGTGGGCCTTGCAGAGACAGGGAGCTGGGCTTTGGAAAAGGACTAGATTATTAGATGGGAAAGGGTTTCCAGGAGGTGAGAACAGCATAAAGGTAGGCAGATTCTGCCTGGTCCCTGTGAGGATGAAACATCTTCTTCACTCCTTCTCCTTTCCTCCATCTCCAGAATTGAGTTCCTGTACCTCCTCCCAGGCCACCTTTAGAATCATCAACTGTTAGACCTGAAAGGAATCTTGGTGATCTTGCTGGTCCTCCCAGTCTTTTGAATTTTATATTTAGGGAAACAGAGACCCAGATGGAGGAATAAACACTTATGTGAGGTCTCTCAGTGGATTAAGAACTCAGTCAGATCTCAGAGTTTCTGATTCATCATTTGCATTTCCTAGTTCTACATTGCCTCAACGTCAACCACTTTGGCCTCCATCCTCCAGGGCTGGGTTTTGTTTTGCTTTGTTTTTCTGTCGGGGTGAGGGTAGGAAAGGGATTTTTACCTAACTCCCTGTTATCGAAAAATAATAATTACAACTATCCCTTATCAAACATTTACTATGTGTCAGGCACAGTTCTAGGTGTAAGGGACACACACTAAACAAAGTTTCTCCTTTCATGTGGCTCACATTCTCCGGTGGGGGGGTGGCTGCAGGACAGAAGTTAAATAAACAAACATGCCATGTGGCGTTATGATAGGATCTATGAAGAAAGTTGAGGTTGGACAGGGGGTTGAGCGTGACCATAAGGAGGCTATTTTAGATAGTTCACTCCAAAACTCAGAGGCCTAAAACAGTCATAAATTATCATCTCACAGTTTCTAAGGGTCAGGAATTCAGAAGTGGCTTAGCTGGCTCATTCGGGCTCAGGGTCTTTCTTGATGTTGCGGTCAAAATGTCAGACAAGACTGCAGTTGCCTGAAACCTTGACTGGGGCTGGAGGATTCTCTTCCAGGGTGGTTCGCTCCCATGGCTGTTGGCTGAACACCTCAGTTGCTCATCATGAAGAGTAGCCCTCCCCACAGGGCTGTTTGAGTATCCTCATGATATGGCAGCATGTGCATGGTCTGAGAAAGAAAGAAACGAGGAAGACACAATGCCTTTTTAATTTTTTAATTTTTATTTTTTTAAGAGTTTATTTGTTTGACAGACAGAGATTACAAGTAGGCAGAGAGGCAGGCAGAGAGAGGGAAGCAGACTCTCTGCTGAGCAGAGAACCCGATATGGGGCTCGATCCCAGGACCCCGGGACCATGACCTGAGCTGAAGGCAGAGGCTTTAACCCACTGAGCCACCCAGGCACCCCACAATGCTTTAAAAAAAAACTTTTTATTTATGAATAATATTAGATTTACAGACAACTTACAAAGATAGTACAGAGTTCCCTTACATACTTCACTCAGCTTCCTCTAACGTTAATATCTTATATAACTGTGGTGGATTTCTCAAAGTCAAGAGATGAACATCGATACATTACTGTTAACTAAACTTCAGACTTTATTCAGATTTCCCTGCTTTTTCCACTAATGTCTTTTCTGTTCCAGAATCCTGTTCAAGAGATCACATTGTGTTTAGTCATCATGTTTCCTTAGTCTCCTTTGATCAACAATAGTTTCCTTCTCTTTCTTTGTTTTTCATAATCTTTTTTTAAGGTTTTTATTGTAATTCCAGTTAGTTAATATACAGTGTAATCTTAGTCTCAGGTGTACAGTATGGTAATTCAACAATTCCGTACATCACCCAGTGCTCATCACGACAAGTGCGCTCCTTAATCTCCCCATCACCTATTTCACCCATCCTCTATCCACCTCCCCTCTGGTGACCATCAGTTTGTTCTCTAGAATAAAGAGTCTGTTTTTTGGTTTGTATGTGTCTCTCTTTTTTCCCCTTTGCTTGTTTTTTTTTTGTTTGTTTGTTTGTTTATCTCTAAATTCCACATTTGAGTGAAATCATATGGTATTTCTCTTTCTCTGATGGACTTATTTCACATAGCATTATACTCTCCAGCTCTGTCCCCATTGTTGCAAATGGCAAGATTTCATTGTTGTTTTATGGCTGGGTAATATTCCATCATATATACCACATCTTCTTTATCCCTTCATCAGATGATGTACACTGCTTCCATAATTTGAGTATTATAAATAATGCTGCTATGCATATGGGGGTGCATGTATCCTTTTGAATGGGTGTCTTAGTTTTCTTTGGGTTAATACCCAGTAATGAGATTGCTGGACCCTAGGGTAGTTCTGTTTTTAACTTTTTGAGGAACCTCCATCCTGTTTTCCAGAGTGGCTGCACCAGTTTGCGTTCCTAACTGAAAGAGGGTTCTCCTTTCTCCAAATCCTTGCCAACACGCGTTGTGTCTTGTGTTGTTGATTTTAGTCATTTTGACAGGTGTGAAGTGGTATCTCATAGTTTTGATTTGCATTTCCCTGATGGTAAAAACACGGAACCCTTTGTGAATTTGCGTGTCCTCCTTGTGGAGCAGCCACGCTAATCTTCTCTGTATCATTCCAATTTTAGTATGTGTGCTGCTGAAGCAGGCAATATTTTTCATAATCTTGACAATTTTGAAGTGTACTGATCACGTATTATGTAGAGTGTCCCTTAATTTGCATCTTTCTGATGTTTTCTCATCAGCAGACTAAGGCAATTGCAAAGCCTTTTATGACCTTGTTTTAGAAGTCACATGCTGTTACTTTTACCATATTCTGTTATTTAGGAAGTAGACAGTAAGTCAAGCCAAAACTCAAGGGGTTGGGGAGAACTGAGTTCTACCTATTGAAGGGAGGATTATCAGATTTTGTGGGCATATTTTAAAATCACCGGGGGAGTCAAGGAAGGCCTCCCTGATATAGAGACACTTGAACAAAACTTGAAATAAGTAAGGGAACAAGCCATGGAGAGGTCAAGATAAAGCTTTGTAGGCACAGGAACAGCCAGGAAGGGCCTGAGGCAGGAGTGTACACAGCAATGTTTGAGAAGTATGTCAGGAAGCCAGAGTGGCTTACCAGAGACAGCAAGGTGGAGAATGGTATGGCATGAGGTCATTAAGTTTTCGGGCTGGGGGTTAGGGAGATAATGTAGGGCATTGTAGAACGTAGTAAGGGTTTGGATTTTATGGGGAGCCATTGAAGAATTCTGAGCAGAACAGACATGATTTTAAAAGGATCATTCTGGCTGCTGTGTGCGTACCCTATAGATCAGAAGGGCAGAAGTTGGGTATCAGATGAGGAAGAACTCAGTGTTCTCCCAGAAAGAGGTTCTTTTCCCTAATCCAGGTGAGAGATAATGCTTATCATCTCAATCCCTAACTCAAGGGCCAATATGAGGTCTAAAGAAGATAATATCATTAGGGTGCTTGGCATGCAGTAGGTGCTAAACATATCAAAGTCTGAAGGAATAGCAGTACCTTGAGGAAGAAAATGCGTACCTTCCATTGTCTGGAAGAACATGAAGGTCTATACAATGCCCTTCTTTTATGTCCAGCATGTGGCCTGTCTGTAGGGATACAAAGAAAGAACTGAGTTCTTGACCTTGAGGAGCTCAGAGTCTGGTGGGTTGGACATTGCTGCAAGAAATAATCCCAACTTGACTGGCCAAGTGCTATAACTGATTTGGTATGGGAGGCTCTGGTGGGCCTAGGAGGAAAGCTTGATTTGGAGAAAGTACCAAAGGCCTCATTTGACACCCAACTTCCACACTTGGCAGCTATAATCTACTCATACAGAAGCCAGATTCCAAACTCAAAGTTATCTGACTCTCGAGGCCCACATTCCCAGCCACTCTGATACTCTACCAACCCTGTGGAGACATGGTCTTTGTACACTTATCCCATGGTCTTGCCATTTATACCTTCAGCAGAGGGACTGCTATTTAATGGATTGAAGAGTTTTCAAAATCCTAAAGACAGAAGGAAAGTGAGGCTTATTATCCTCTGATTTATATTTACTGCAATTGCATTAAATAGCGTATACCATGGGAGAAGAAATAGCTCTCCGTTGGGTAGTGGATGCCGGTGGTCTCAAGGCTTTGGCAAGGCTCTGTGGATCAGGATGGGGGAAGGTCAGTGCTGTGGTTCTGAGACCCCTCCCTCATAGGCTCACCAGCACTGGTCCAAAAAACCCTATAAAAAACTCTGTCCATTTTGTAGGTGGAGAGAAATGCCCTCTGCAGGGAGAAGTCTTTGGTACAAGACTGGGCTTCCAACAGGGGAAGTTGGCCTCTGCAATCACCAGTTGCAAGTTAGCCGGATGAGCTCTCTCTTAAGAGAGACATGGGAAAGAGAAGCAAGCAGGGAAGCAAAGAGAACAAGAATGAGAGTGAGACAGAACTCGAAGATATGATTAGCATATGCCAAATTGAGAGGACAGGAAGGGACACAAGAGCTGAGGGCAGTTAAAAAAAAAAAAAAGAAAAGAGCTGATAAGGATGGAGGAGATAATGGGTTCCTTCCATCAGCTGATAACAGTTCCCTCTGTGTCTGTGGAGAGAGAGAGAGAGAAAGCACCTCCAGAATCTGCCCTCCGTCCACCCTCCCCATCATATCACCCTGGGTGGGAGGCAGGGTGGGGCTCACTCCCCAGTAGCTTCTCATCACTTCATCCTTTCAACAAGTATTCTTTTTTTTAAAAAGATTTTATTTATTTATTTGACAGACAGAAATCACAAGTAGGCAGAAAGGCAGGCACAGAGAGAGGGGGAGGCAGGCCCTCCGCTGAACGAAGAGCCTGGGCTTGATCCCAGGGCCCTGGGACCATGACCTGAGCCGAAGGCAGAGGTTTTAACCCACTGAGCCACCCAGGCGCCCCTCAACAAGTATTCTTATTAAGAACCTACTTCAGGTCGGAAACTGCTCCAAGTGCCGGGGATATAGCTGTGAACAAGGCAGTGAGCACATAAGTGAGTTAAGAAGCCCGTTGTAGATAGTGGCAAAATAAAATGTGTGTAACAGGATGGGGTGTTGTCATTTGTACAATGGTGATATTAACAGGACTGTCCTCACTGGGTTGCTGTGAGGATTAGCAGAATTAATCCAGGGAAATGCTTAGCACGGTGCTTGGCACAGAGTTCTCGTTGCTATTAGTCTTCCTTCCTTTCATCCTTCCATCCTTCCATCCTTCCAGCCTTCCATCCTTCTTCCACTTTGCCTAAAGCTCTACCTTTCTCCCTGTGTCTTTCTCTCTCATTCATCCCCTCTTTCCAGATCTCTCATCTTCCTCCCTCCCTTTCTCTCCTTTCCACCCTCCCTTCATAAGGCAATAGCTTTGCTCTTTCCTCCCTAAATTGAAGGGCAGGGGTGTAGTAAAACAAATTGCTGTCAACAAAGTACATTTCCACAGTATTCATCCCCATGCAGAGAAGATTTATCAGGGTCTCTCACCCTGCACTGTTATGTAAATGTGGTAATCCAGTGGAAATATGATATCTGAGGAGTCTGAGGGTAAAGACACCATAAAAACTATCAATTACCCACAGGAGCTTGGGTTTGGTTAATTCACTCACTGCCTTGCATGTCTTCTGCCTTTCCCCTATGAGGGAAAACTTGACAGGTGGTGACAACTTATAAAAGATGCTTTCTTTCTCCTTGGGTCCTAGGAGGTCATCTGGAGGATCAAACATTCGTAAAGCGCCTGAGAAATTTTAAAGTGCTACATAATTCAAGGGTATTATTATTTCTATTGTCATGTGGGTCATCTCTGTGACTCTTATGTGTGACAGATGTCTGCTCTGTCTGCAAGGTAGGGCTGACCCCACACTTGGGTTTGCCGTAATCTCTTTTTGCCGCCTGAACCTATAAGCAATGTCCGTCCTTTCTTTCTTCCTTCCTTCCTTCCTTCCTTCCTTCCTTCCTTCCTTCCTTTCTTTCTTTCTTCTTTCTTTCTTTCTTCCTTCCTTCATTCCTTCATTCCTTCATTCCTTTCTTTCTTTTGTTAACTATTTTTTAATTTTTAAAATTTTTTAATTTTTTATTAACATATAATGGATTATTAGCCCCAGGGGTACAGGTCTGTGAATTGCCAGGTTTACACACTTCACAGCATTCACCATAGCACATACCCTCCCCAATGTCCATAACCACCCTCTCACTAACCCCCTCTGCCCAGCAACCCTCAGTTTGTTTTGTGAGATTAAGAGTCTCTTATAGTTTGTCTCCCTCCTGATCCCATCCTGTTTCATTTTTTTTCCCTCCTAACCTCCAACCCCCCACGTAGCCTCTCACATTCTTCATATCAGGGAGATTATATGATAATTGTCTTTCTCTGATTGACTTATTTCGCTCAGCTTAATAACATCTAGTTCCATCCACGTCGTTCCAAAAGGCAAGATTTCATTTCTTTTGATGGCTGCATAGTATTCTGTTATGTATATATACCATATTTTCTTTATCCATTCTTCTGTTGGTGGACATCTGGGCTCTTTCCATAGTTTGGCTATTGTGGACATTGCTGCTAGAAACATTTGGGTGCACATGCCCCTTTGGATCACTACATTTGTATCTTTAGTGTAAATACCCAGCAGTGCGATTGCTGGGTCATAAGGTAGCTCTATTTTCAACTTTGTGAGGAACCTCCATGCTGTTTTCCAGAGTGGTTGCACCAGCTTGCATTCCCACCAACAGTGTAGGAGGGTTCCCCTTTCTCCGCATCCTCGCCAGCATCTGTCATTTCCTGACTTGTTAATTTTAGCCATTCTGACTGGTGTGAGGTGATATCTCATTGTGGTTTTGATTTGTGTTTCCCTGATGCCGAGTGTTGTGGAGCACTTTTTCATGTGTCTGTTGGCCATCTGGATGTCTTCTTTGCAGAAATGTCTGTTCATGTCCTCTGCCCATTTCTCGATTGGATTATTTGTTCTTTGGGTGTTGAGTTTGATAAGTTCTTTATAGATTTTGGATACTAGCCCTTTATCTGATATGTCATTTGCAAATATCTTCTCCCATTCTGTCAGTTGTCTTTTGGTTTTGTTGACTGTTTCCTTTGCTGTGCAAAAGCTTTTTTTTTTTTATATTTTATTTATTTATTTGACAGATAGAGATCACAAGTAGGCAGAGAGGCAGGCAGAGAGAGAGGAGAGAGAGAGGCAGAGCAGAGACCCTGATGCGGGGCTCGATCTCAGGACCCTGGGATCGTGACCCGAGCCAAAGGCAGAGGCCTCAACCCACTGAGCCACCCAGGCACCCCTGTGCAAAAGTTTTGATCTTGATGAAGTCCCAATAGTTGATTTTTGCCCTTGCTTCCATTGCCTTTGGTGATGTTTCTAGGAAGAAGTTGCTGCAGCTGAGGTCAAAGAGGTTGCTGCCTGTGTTCTCTTCAATGATTTTGATGGATTCCTTTCTCACATTGAGGTCCTTCATCCATTTGGAGTCTATTTTTGTGTGTGGTGTAAGGAAATGGTCCAGTTTCGTTTTTCTGCATGTGGCTGTCCAATTTTCCCAACACCATTTGTTGAAGACACTGTCTATTCCATTGGACAGTCTTTCCTGCTTTGTCAAAGATTAATTGACCATAGAGTTGAGGGTCTATTTCTGGGCTCTCTATTC